TCCTATATATTTCAGAGTGTAGGTGTTGTATGATAAATTTTGTTAAACTTATCCCTAAATATTCAGAATTTTAGTGATTCTGTAAAATTTTTTTTAATTTAAATTTTTAGATTATTGGTCATTGTTGGTATAGAGAAATATAATTGATTTTTATATATTCACCTTGTCAAAATTACTTTTTCTAGTAGATTTTTTTGTAGATTCCTTTAGGATTTTCTATATTGACAATCATATTGTTTGAGAACAAAGACAGTTTTACTTCTTTCCAATCTAGATGCCTTTTATTTCTTGCATTCTACACTGTTCAGGACTTCTAGTATAATGCTGAATTGAAATGGTGAGAGCAGTCATCATTACCTTACTTGTGATCTTATGGGGAAAGCATTTTGTCTTTCATTATGAAGTGTTAGTTGTAGGATTGGATTTTGTTAGATGCTCATTATCAAGGTGAGCAACTTTTATTTTTGCTGAGAGTTTTTAATATGGAAGGTATTAAATTTTAAAATACCTTTTTTGCATCTAGTGAGAAAATCATGACATTTTTCTTTCTAGTCTAGTGAATTACATTATTTGATTTTTGAATATCAGACCAACTTTATCAAACAGGATGGGCCCCATTTGGTTATGATATGTTATATTTTTAATATGTTGCTGGATTTGATTTGGTAATATTTTGTTAAGTGTTTTTGTGTGTATTTTCATGATAGATATTGAATGTCTATAGTTTTCTTTTCTTGTAATGTCATTGTAGTGACTGATTTGGATATCAAGGTAGTGTCAGCCTTCTAGAATGAATTTGGAAAAACTCCCTTTCCCATTTTCAGGAGTAGTTTTATAAAATTTGTATTATTCGTTAAATATTTGGTTGAATTCACTAGTGACTCCATCTGGAACTGGAATTTTTTTGGTGGGATACATTAGGAATTCAATTTCTTCAATAGGTAAAAGGCTAATCTGGTTGTTTGCTATATCCTGAGTGAGCTTCGTTCTTTTACCTTTTTAAGGGTATTTATCCCCATTATTTAAGTTGGCAAATTTATTTTAAAAATTTATGAAAGTTCATGAAATTATCATATCATTTTTTCTCTACCTATATAGCAGGAACAATTGTATTATTTTATTTTATTTTATTTTATTTTTGCCAGTAAATGCCATCACGTCTAGTTCTCATGTATCCTTTTAATATCATTGAGGTCAGTAATGATGTCCCTTCTCTCATTTCTGATGTTAATAATTTGTTTCTTTTTCTTCCCCCCCCTGACTAGTCTGGCTATCAGCTTATCACTTTTCCTGATCTTTTCAAAGAACCAGCTTTTGGTTCCATTGATTATTTTCTATCTTATATTTCTGTTTTTTATTATACTGGATTCCATGCTTGTTTTTCTTTTTTTTTTTATGCTTGCTTTGGATTTCATTTGGTTTTTTTTCTAGTTTTAAAAAAAATTTTTTTTATGGTGGAAGCCATTAATCTGAGACCTTTCTTCTTTCCTAATACAGGTGTTTAGTGCTACAGAATTTCCTCTAGCCTTATTTTAGCTGCATCCCACAAATCTTGATATGTTGTATTCTTGTTTTCATTCAGTTTAAAGTATTTTCAAATTTATTTTTTTCATGTATGGGTTATTTATCCATGTGTCTACTTTCTAAATATTTGGAGATTTTCCAGTAATTTTTCTGTTACTGATTTGTAATTTATTTATTTTGTGATCAGAGAATTTACTTTGTATTATTTGAATCAATTTAAATTTATCTAGACTTATTCTGTGGCCCAGAATATGATCTGTATTTGTTTACTATGGCGGCTATAATAAACTAGCACAAACTTGGTGGCTTAAGATAACATACGTTTATTCTCTTATAGTTCTAGTGGTCAGAAGTTCAAAATTGGTTTCATTGGACAAAAACCAAAGTGTTACTAGGGTTATACTCCCTTAGGGTGTACAAGGGGGAATCTGTTTCCCTGCCTTTTCCAGCTTCAAGATCTGTATTCTTTCATTCCTTGGCTCACAATACCTTCTATCTTCAAAGCCAGCAGTGTAGCATTTTTAAATCTTTCTCTGCTTTTGTGGTCACATTGCTTTCTATTTTCTATCTGTAGTGAAATCTCTCTGCTTTCCTCTTATAAGGACATTTGTGATTGTATTTAGAGCCTGCCCAGATAATCCAGGATGATCTCCCGGTCTTAAAATCATTAACTTAATTATGCTATAATGCTACTTTGCTAATAAGATAACATGCATAGGTTCCAAGGATTAGGATATGGATATCTTTGGGTGCTATTATTCAGCCTACCACACGGTCTATCTTGGTAAATGCTCCATGTGCACTGGAGGAGTATGTATTCTGTTGTTGATGGGCAGAGTGTTCTAAACATGTTAATTTCATCTAGTTAATAGTGTTCATCCCTTCTGGATCCTTACAGATTTTCTGCTAATTGTTCTATTGAACAATTGATGGAGAAGTGTTGAAATATGCAGCTTAATTGTGGGTCTGTTTGTTTTACCTATTCTTTTTATTTTTGTTTCATATACCTGAAAGCTTTAGTTGTAAAGGTATAGACACATTTAGAATTGTTGTATCCTCTTGATGACATATGCTTTGTTCTGAAATATGCTTTGTTTGATATTAATATAGCTACTGCAGGTTTCTTTTGATTTGTATTATCATGATATATCAACCTTTTAACCTATCTGTGTCTTTATTTGAAGTAGATAGACACTTGGAGACAGCATATAGTTTTGGGTCTTGCTTTTTTATTCAACCTCAGTATCTCTGTCTTTCAGTTGGAGTGTTTGGACCACTTACATTAAATGCTGTTATTGATATTATTAGGTGTAAATCCACCTTTGTTTTCTCTTTGTTTGTTTTGCTATTTGTTTTCTCTTTGCTGTTCTTTATTTCTGTTTCCCACATATCTTGCCTTATTTCGGTACTGGAATATATTTTATTTTATATAATAATATATATGAGAAAGATATATTCTGTCTTATCTCCATTATTGGCTTATCAGCTATCCCTCTTTTTGTTAATGGTATTTGCACCAGGGTTGATATATATCTTTAATATACCATTGTCTTCTATCTTCAAATATACCTTACAATATACTTTTATTTTCCCCGCTTTTGGCCTTTGTGCTATTGCATAACCTTTTCCATTTATAGATATCATAAACACCTTGATGCATTGTTATTAGATTTGCTTCAGTTATTAATTATCTTTTAAAGGGATTTTTTTAATGGGTAAAATTATCTTTTATATTAACTCACATTCTGTTAAGTATATCCAAATTCCTATCTGGTATGAATTTCCTTGCACCTGAAGAATTTTGTTAACATTTCTTGTAGTCCTGGTAAAAAGCCTTTATTTTGCCTTCATTTGAAAGATATTTTCTGGAATTCTCTGGTTACAGAGGGTCAAGTTTTCAATTCAAGGTTGGTTAAATTCGTGGATGCAGAACCTGTAGATATGGATTGCCAAGTGTACTACATCATTTTATATCATTTTAAGCATGCGTGGATTTTGGTATCTGAGGGAAATGCTGGAACCAGTCCCCTGCGGATACCAAGGGATGACTGTATAGAATGCTGAGTTGACAGTTTTTCAGTGCTTTAAAGATATTGCTCCAGTGTGTCTTCTGGCTTGCCTTGTTTCTGATAAGACTACTGCTGTTCTCATCTTTGTTCCTCTCAATGTCATTTGTTTGTGTTTTGTTTTCCTCTCTGGCTGCTTCTAAGATTTTCTCTTTATCACTAGTTTTCAGCAGTTGGATTATAATGTGCCTTTTGAGGGGTTTTCTGATATTTTTTCCCTTGTTTTTGTTTTTCTGTTTTGGGTTTTTTCCACCCTGCTTAGGTTTGCTTACTTCCTTAGATATGTTTTTAGTTTATATGAAATGGAAAATATTCAGCTATCCTGTAAAAGTTTTTTCTGCCCTTCCATTTTGTGGGACTCCAGTTTCACATTTGTTCTGCTGCTTGATATTGTTCTTGAGTTCATAGCTATATTAATTCATTTTTTTTTCTCTTTGGCTTTCATTTAAGATAATTTCTATCTCTCTGTCTTTAATTTCACTAATCCTTTCATTTCTAGGTCTAATCTGCTGTTAATCCCATTGGTGTACTTTTTATTTCAGATTATTTTATCGTTCAACTCTAAAAGTTTCATTCAGGTCTTAAAAAAAACTTCCTTTTTCTCTTCATAATGCTGATGATTTTTCTCTACCTTTAAATATTTATAAAGGCTGTTTTCACATCCTTATCTACTAAATCTATCATCTGTGTTATTTTTGGGAGTAAGCTTTTTATTGATTGATTTTTTTTTTCTTAATTATGGATCATTTTGCCCTGCTTCTTTGCATGTCTGGTCATTTTTATTGGATGCCAGACATTGTGAATTTTACATTATTGGGTGCTGGATTTTAACTCCTTTAAATATTTCTGGTTATTTTCTTGGCATTAGTAGTTTCTTCATATTCATGTATCAATTAGTGCTCCAGTGAAAACTTTAGGGGACTCCTCTATAGGCCTCCAGAACTCTTTGCAGTTTCTTCTTCTCAAGTACTCAGTCCCATAAATCCTAGTTGCCTTGGCCTCTTCAAACTCTAAACTCTGTATTCTTGACTCAGACCCCTAAGTTTTGTTTGTGTTCTCTCTCTTTAGGGTATAGCTTGAAAACTCTCCAAGTCATGGGCTGGTACATTAGTAGGGTTCACCTCATTTTTTTCTCTTGGAGATTGCTGTCCTGTATTGCCTCTGTTGTCCAGTGTCTAAAATTTGTTGCTTCATATATTTTTGTTAGTTTTTCTAGTTGTTAATATAGGAGAGTAAATCTGGTCTCTTATTTTTTCAGGACCAAAGTGTTTTATCTTTTCCTGAACTTTGTTATAGCCTATACAGTTTTAGTTTATAATGAGCAGAGTATATGGTGGGAGAGGATGAATTTTCATTTTTATATTATATTCATTCAAAGATTTATTTAAAGAGTCTCACTTTCTATTTTAGAAGCAAAACGGACAAGTCGGTTTTTAAGTGGCATTATCAACTTTATTCACTTCAGAGAAGCATGCCGTGAGACATATATGGAATTTCTTTGGCAATATGTAAGATTTAAATATGCTTTGGGGTCACAGATCAGTAACAACATTTATAAGAACTGTTAATTTGTTTTGAAATGTTTGTCACAGATATCAAATTGTATGGCTTTTAGAATCAAACTTATTCATTCATATATATATATATATATATAAAGTTATAGGTTTTAGTTATTGGAAAGCATTTCTCAAAATGAGATTTTCTTTGATATTTGGTAACATTTTGTTTTTGTTTTTAATCTTATAGCTGAAGCTTATTTTCCTATATTAGGAAATGTTAGGGAAGAGAATATTGATAGCTTTATGGTTTTTTCTTTGAAGTTTGCATAGATACTGTAGTGTTTTTAAATAATTGAGATATTTGAGATTTATATTTGCCTTTTAAATAACGGCCTAAATGAACTGTTTGTGGTAGTGTTTATTGTGCTTGTCCAGCATTGCATTATAAGATTCATTCCAAGGCAATCACTTTAACAGAGAGAAACTCACTTTCCTTTCTTCACAATTTGGAGAATTTAGGAAGATTATGGGTTTTCTGTGTGATTCGTTCCAATTTGTTCTCAGTTTTGGGATACCACACTCTTAGAAAAGCACCATAGCAACACCTGACAATTAGACCTTAAGCTCCAGCTACGTGGAGCTATATAGGTAAATACTTCTTTGAACACATCATACTATGCTTATATCTACTAAACCTCACATACTCTTCAAAGCTTGCACATGTGTGTGCCAACTCTTTCTCTCCCTCTTCCTCTCTCTCCCTCTTCCCCTCTCTCCCTCTTCCCCTCTCTCTCTCTCTCTCTCTCTCTCTCTCTCTCTCTCTCTCTCTCTCTCTCTCTCAGACACACAAACAATTTTGCTTGGCTAATTATTACTGTATTTTTAAAGATACAGTTCAGACATTATTACCTTTATGTAGCCCTCTATTACTCTCCTCCACAGCCATTACCCAAGTTGGGTTGGATGTCATTCTTTATTGTTCCCATTATATTCAAAATAATAAGCTATTTTGTAGGTTTTTATGAATATATCTGATCTTCAAGGAGACTGAGTTACTTAAGTTTAAGAACTATAAGTTAGTCTTGGGAATTCCTAGTATCTAGTATAGTGCCTAACTAGGGTAAGAACTCAACATTTGTGTTAAGTAAAGAGATTCCTAATATATTTGTCATGAATGGCTGTCTTAAATTTCTTATTTCTGATGACAAAAATTGTAGAGTGAGTAAATATTTTATAGTCTGTGCTAGTAGACTTTTTTGAAAAAAAGAAATCATTGTTTATATTGAAAATCAGATATTTAATATGAGATTATTAAAATTGCTTTAATAGAAATCCTCTGTGGACAAAATGCAGCAGTTAAATGTCGCACACCAGGAGGCATTAATGAAATTGGAGAGACTTGAGTAAGTAGGACATTTACAAATAAAGTAAATGCAATTTCAAAATGCAAATTACATTGTAAGTAATATTGTACAATCCTACAGTCTACCTTGTCTCTTTTATCTTCCTTAATAGATTATTTAAGCTTGCCTTTTCTACAAAAAGAAAAACTTTTTCTTCTAATTCTTAATTATATAATACATTCTTTGGCTTCTTTCTTGTTAGTATGTTAGCCTGACTTATTTAAAGTCTTTAACTTACTCTCCTAAATTATATCTGAAGTATTTGTCTTATGTAGATGAGTAATAACTTTGTCTGAACTCTGTTTCTCCAGATCAGTTTTGTTAAAATTTTTAACTCCTACAACAGAGTTTTTTGTTTGTTTTGTTTTTGACTCAGTTTACATAGGGGGGAAAGAATCACTTGAAAGTTAAAATTTCTTTGCCTTCCATATATATATATATATATATATTTTTTTTTTTTCAATTTAAGCAGAAGGATTTTTGTTTGTTTGTTTTTTCTAATTTGTTGATGTCTAGGACGTTATTTGTTTCAGGTGAGAGGTTTTCTAACATGCCCCTAGCAACAGTTGACTTTATAAGCAGCAGAAAGCTGAAAAGACTGGGGATAGGAGGCAGATAGAACATGGTAAAAGACACCACAGATTAAATCAAAAGTGACAAACTAGGACAGAATAATTGCAGCATATGCCACAAAGAAAGCATTACTAACTTCTGATAACAAAATCCATGTAACATTCCTAATACACAAAGCACGCCTACAAACTGATAGGAAAAAAGATAACAGAAAAATGGGCAAAGGCTATTCACAGAGAGTTTATAGCAGAATAAAAACAGATGGCTAATAAATCAGATAGGCAAAAACTAACATAGAGCACATTCATATGGAAGAGCCTTGAACATGTGTAAGTGCTGAAGTGCTGTTGGGAAGGAAGTACTGGTAGCAGAAGGATAGATGATACAGGACTAAGAGATGTGAGGAGATGAGAGCTGCAGCAAAGGTGGAGATATTAGCATTAAACAGGAGAAGGAATACCATGATCATTTTATTAGGAGTGAAGTTTGAAAGTGTAGGTATGTATGTGGATGAATGCATAGATTTTAAGGTAGAAAATTGAAGGAGCTCATCTGATTTTTATTTTCTCTCCGCAGTAGAAGCCAGATAATCTATTTTAAATGGCTGTCATATGAAAGGATATAATTCAGAAACATGAAAGCAGATGGTTTCTTCATCTAAGTTATTTGAGGGCAGGATTTTATTTTAGCCTTTCAAAGTTAAGAACTTGATAAATGTTATTTTAATCTATTTTTCTGTGTTTAGCTCTGTTCCAGTTGAAGAGCAAGAAGAGTTCAAGCAACTTTCAGATGCTATTCAGGAGCTGCAGCAATCACTCAATCAAGACTTTCATCAAAAAACGGTATCTGTTGGGAGACATTTTAGAAAATTTTTTATTTTTGTATATGTGGTGGGGCATGTAGAGGAGTTAAGAGCACATTGCTTTCAATTTCTAAAGAAATAGAATATATTGCTGTGCCCCTTAGAACCATGATGGTTTATGTTGCCAAAGTTATGTGCTTTCTTGTTGAATAAAGTTTTCAAGAGTTCTTTTATGTCTAATTCTGTTTCCAAACCACACACTGTGGCACCCTGGACATTGCAGCAAACCCTTAAGGGAGCATCAAAATATTACATATTTTCAAGGGAAACACCACAATACTCAGCATCTGTCATATATTTCTTGAATTCAAGGTAGTTCACAGTTTCAGTGTTAGATAATTTTACTTTTCCTATCTTTGTGAAGCTGAGGTTTTGGCATTTGCTATGATAAAAAGCAAGTACCATGTGAAAATGATTATGGCACAGAAAATAAGAAAGTCCATTTCTAATCTGAAATATACATTCCAGCGTATGCAATGCCCAGTAGTTATACACATCTCATTAGGGAGTAATTTTGGTTATTTAAGAATGAAATAAAAATATTTTTTTCTTTCAACTTATATGTATTATTTTTTCAGGGGGCTACAGCATTGTAGAACATAAATACTTATCCAGTTATTTGGTCTTAATTACATAGTAAAGAAACTCTTAGATATTTCTTTTGGCCTAAGGGCATCATGAAAAAAGAAAGTTTGAAGAATATCTGGTCTCACCCATTTAATGCCTCTTTTTTTCTTACCTTTATTTTATGAGAAAGCAGCAAGTGGCTAATTTAAATCCGTTTTCAGTCATTATAAAACATTTGTTTGCTTTTTCCCTAGGTAGTGCTGCAAGAGGGAAATTCCCAAAAGAAGTCAAATATTTCAGAGAAAACAAAGCATTTGGTAAGCATCTTTTTTAAAACTAGCATTTAAAATTTGAATATATTGTGTGAAGGAGTATTTTAGTTGCATGTGTTGTTATAGTCAAAAGTTTCTTTCTTTTTCCCTCAAAATGAAACTAACTTAACTGTTTTCAACCTAAATATAATAGATTATTATTGTTCTAGAAGACACCAGAAATGTATAAAGTAAAAATCACTGGAAAGCAGCTTAGCACACAATATGACATATATCATAGATTATATTTGCTATGCAAATGTAAATATGTATGTGTAATTTTACATAAATGATACTACACTCAACATATCTCAAACCTGCTTTTTTCCCCTACTTAACACTATAGTACAAATAATTTTGAATTTCACACAGATTCTCATTATGTTAATGCTTGCATCTGGTTGTACATTATATGTATGTGCTGTAATGTAGAGCCTTTTAGTCCCCCCTTGATAGACTTTCATATTGCTTCTAAATTTTTTTGCTTTTAAAGATAAATATATGTATGCATGTGCTATATGCATACATATGTACATTTCTGCATGAAGCTGCTTTTTATCTTATAAATTTCTTAATTTAGGATTTCTGGATTATGGAAATATACATTTAATATTGACTCATATTTCCAAACAGACTTCTAAAAAGATACCAATTTATATTTCTACCAATAGAATATGGGACTGTTTCCCTATACCCTCTCCAAAGTTGGATGTTTTAGTTTTGCTTTCTTTTTTTTTTAACATTTTGTCACTCTTATAGGGAGAAAATCTCATTTTAATTTGATTTCTTTATTTCTAGTGATTTAGATCATCTTAAGTGATTTCTTGTTATTTCTTATTTTGTAAATTACTTGTTTGTGTACCTTGCTTATTTTATTTACTTTTAAGGAAACTCCATGAATTAGGGATATTAGTTTTCTATTTATCTTTCAAAATCATAATTTGTTTCTATTTGAAGGTTTACATTTTTATATACTAAAATTTATAAATAGGGCCTTTATGGTTTTTGGCTTTAATTCTATATATAGGAAAGCCTGCTGCATTCATCAGACTATTTTTTAATACTATATTTTCTCATTATATTCTACAGTTTCCCCCATCATTTTAACATTTATACTTTAGAGCCATCTGAAATTTACTTTGGTGTTATATACCCTTATTTTTCTATCATTCTTTTTATTAGCAAATGTTTTCATTTCTGTAATACTTATTATGGCTCAATTTTATTATTCATTTCTTTCTGTCCCATTAAATCTAGATTAAAACAAAATCACTTTATACTTATCAAGTTTAGGCTTTTTATAAAGGGAAGAAAAGTGATGAAAGTTAACACTATTGTAAGGAAAATGATCTCTAGTAGAGCATTAAAAGAGTAGATAGTATGGTGGTTTGTGGAATTCTAAGAATAAAATAACAAAATATACAGATATAACAGAAATGCATTTTTTAAACATTTCATTTTGACCTCTGAGTTAGCTGATCACTAAGGTAAGAACTTTTCTTTTTTAAAGTTAGAAATATTTAGACCAATTACATAAGCCATGCAATAATACATTTCTGTTATAAGTTATTCAAATGACTGTGTGTGTGTGTGTGTGTGTGTGTGTGTGTATGAGAGAGAGTGAGAGTGAGGGGAGGGGGGAGAGAGAGAGAGAGAGAGAGAGAGAGAGAAAGAGAGAGAGAGAGAGAGAAAGGTCAAATATAAAAGGACTTCTCTCAGCCCTTTTACCTTGAGGTGATACTCTTCTTTTTCTTTTTCCATGACATTGCTTGCATATATACAGATGCATATAGTCATTTGTCACTGTTTTGTTGTTTTATAGAAATGTATAATATGGTTCTTTCACTTAATATTTTTGGGAAATCTTCCATGTCAATACATAGAGTCATAGAGTGTCCTAAAACAATGTAAATATAATTTATCAACAATGAACAACAAATATTTGGGAAGGAAATCCATATGAATTTTTTTTTAATAATTTCAGACTGCAGCAAAGTTTTAAAAGCTTAGATTCCTTGAATGGTTGCACTCACTTTTGAAATTCAGGAGAAGGGACCGGGCAGGGCGGCTCACACCTGTAATTCTCAGCACTTTACGAGGCTAAGGGTGGAGGATTGCTTGAGCCCAGGAGTTTGAGGTTGCAGTGAGCTGTGATGATGCCACTGCACTCTAGCCCAGGCAACAGAGTAAGACCCTGTCTCAAAACAAAACAAAACAAAATTTTCAGGAGAAAGGAGTTTGTTTTGATTCCACAAAAATGTATTGAATATGTGCTATTACTTTGTTTGGGTATTGGAAGAACAAAGATAACTTCATAACTCTAATCTGCTCAGTCAATTATGAAACATATATTAAATACATAATTGTAGTATAGAGTTTCATGTATAATAATTGCACTCTTTATGGAAGAAAAGTACAGGAAATGGGAGCAGGATTTTCAAGGATCAATAGAAATTCAGCAGGCAGACAGGAGTGGGATGATTATATTCTAGGTGGACCATGCTGATCTAAGAAAGATCACTAGGACTTGTCTAAGCATGAGGCTAGTATTACCAGATTGAAGGGTGCAGTAGGAAACAAGTGGGAGATGAGCTAGGAAAGGAGAATAAGAGGCATGTAATGAAGGGCCTTGAACATCATGCTAAGGAGCTTGATCTTTGGTCTATGGATGAATATGAGCAATTAAACAGGCAAGTGATGTGGTCAGAATTTATTTTTACCCTATTGACAGTGAACATGGAACTAATTTCTTTCTTTTTTCCTTTTATTGGAAGGGTAAATCACCAATTTTATTATTATATCTAATATATAAAAATGTTTTCTTGACAGAATGAACTAAAATTGTCAGTAGTTTCTTCGAAGGAAGTACAAGAGAGTTTGAAAACAAAAATTGTGGATTCTCCAGAGAAGCTAAAGAATTATAAAGAAAAAATGAAAGATACAGTCCAGAAGCTTAAAAATTCCAGAGTGAGTTATCTTTTTATTTTAATGCTTTTCTATCATTTTTATTTTTTTAAAGCAAACTCATATCTAATCATGTTAATTTTCTGATTTCTAGATTATCTGTACTTCTCCTCCTCTTAAACTTTTTGACCTTATCTCTGAGTTGTAGCTCTTCTCTAAAGTGGATATGGGGAAAAGAAATATAGTTTCAAGACATTTGTTTCAACTATGTGACAAATTTTTGAGGCTTTGCTCTGGTGATCAAACAGACCTGCTCTGTACTCATGAGATTTAGTTACTTTATAACAATGGAGAAAGATATTAAACAATTTTGCGATTACATAACTACAAATTATAATATGTACTATAAAAAAGTATAGGCTATGCATGTGTGGGAGCAAGATGGGGTATATGAGAAATCTCTGTACCTTTGATCAATTTTGCTGTGAATGTCAAATTGCTTGAAAAATCAGAATCTATTAATATAGCACTAAAAAGAGAGGGGCAAAGAATATAGGGTGCTTTGAGATAATATAGTGGGGGAAGCCCAATTTAGTACTGTGAGAATCAGGTGGAAGAGGGAAGGAAATAGAAATTTATGCTGCCATCTGAAGAATGAACAGTAAATTGTACATGGAAGAACATGCAGGGCAGAGAGAATGGCATATGTGAACTCTGAGGTAGTAGGGAACAAGATATATTCAAGGTTAGGGGTTACTATGGGAGATGAATTGAGGTGGAGCCACACAAAATTAGAAGTGGATAGACAATTAAGCATCATATATGCAGCAAAGTTTTTAATTTTTATTAATTAAAATTTCTTGTTTATCTCTGAATTTGTTATCAAAGTTATTCCTAAAAATTAATATTATCATACAAGAATGGACAAATATCACCAGAGCAGAAATGATAACTCAGAAATTGATCTGAGTATTATTGGGAAAAGGATGGTTTATTTAAAAAACAGTTCTGGCTCAATTAGCTATTCATCTAGAAGAGAGTTGGGTCTATACCTTTCACCATTTACAAAAATAAATTTTACGTGGATTATTAATTTAAATTTTAAAAATTAGCAGTGTTAGAAATTTTAGGAGAACACTCATTTATATAATTTTGGACTGGGATAGATTTTGAAAATTAGGATTCAAAACCCAAAAACTATGGAGAATAGTAGATTACATAGCACATATTTACAGCGACTGTGACAGATAAAGGGATTATATCCCCAATATGCAAAGAACATTTACATGTTCTTAAGGAAAAGATAACAGAAAAATGAGCAATTATATGATTAGGCATTTCACTGAAGACAAACTCCAACTGCTTGATAAGTTAGGACAAGGGGTAGGCTAGTGGGGAAAAGGGAAGAAATCTTTGTATTGTTACAGTGGTTGTGGTAAATATATGTTCATTTTGTAATTTTAGAAGAGGAGTTAATCTTTTTAAAAGAATTAGCTATAATAGTTATTATACAAATGAATAGGAAGATTATAAATGGATAATATAATTGCCCAGGAGTAATCAGAAATAGTTTGAGTATTAGGAGAATAAACGCTTTTAATATGATCAAGAATAACCTTTGGAATGTACTTCAGTGAGGGATTTAGTAAAATTATGGGAGTTTTCCTTTGTTCAGGGATATTTGGCAATTAAGAAACATAATTATATGTACTTAGACACATGTCAGTAGTAGTGCTTTGTTACTGACCTGGAAACTTAATTATTTTCTACTGTTAAGCTTTCAATATTAAGTGCAGAAATTATTTAAGAACAAACAAATTGACATTATTGCAGTTTCATAAAGGAGAATATCAAACTGTGGTTTGTATTTTTTTTTTCTTTCAAAGCAAGAAGTGATGGAGAAGTATGAAATATATGGAGACTCAGTTGACTGCCTGCCTGCATGTCAGCTGGAGGTGCAGTTATATCAAAAGAAAATACAGGACCTTTCAGATAATAGGGAAAAATTAACCAGCATCTTAAAGGAGGTTTGTATTGTGTGCAGTTTTCATGTCTTTGTTATGTAATAGCTTACGATAGTTCTTTGGATTTTGTTTCCACTTTTTGTTACTATTTTCCTAAAGAAAAGCAGGATCATTCTACGATATAATAGATGTGGCAGTGAATGCTGGGAAATAAGACACATTGATTTTTTAAACATAGCAGTATCAAGAACCCATTTTTTAACCTTCGGATGCAATGAATTATAAATTGACTAACATAGCACATTGCCATGTATATTTTGTAAAATGGTACAGTAGTCCTCTCTTATCAGGAGCAGAGGGGATACGTTGCAAGATGTAGCCAGTGGATGCCTGAAACCGTGGATAGTACCCAACCCTATATATACTATGTTTTTTCATATACGTGCATACATATGATAAAGTTTAATTTATAAATTGGGCACAGTAAGAGATTAGCAACAATAAGTATTAATAAAAGAGAACAAGTGAAACAATATGCTATAATAAAAGTTATGTGAATGTGGCCTCTCAGTATATCTTATTGTACTGTACGTACCCTTGTATTGATGATAGGAGATGATAAAATAACTACATGATGAGATGAAGTGAGGTGAATGGTGTAGGCATTGTGACAAATCATTAGGCTACCATTTACCTTATGACCATAAGTCAGAAGGAGGATCATCTGCTTCAGGTGGTCCTGGATCATCAAGCCATTACTGTGTCTATGGCTGGATGTTGATGACTGAAAGGCAGGTAATGTATACAGCGTGGATATGCTGGACAAAGGGATGATTCACATCTATGGTGGGATAGAGTAGGACACTCTGAGATTTCATCATGCTGCTCAGAACAGCTTGCAATTTAAAACTTACAAAGTTTTTATTTCTGAAATTTTCCATTTAATGTTGTCGGACCATGGTTGGCCTCGGGTAACGGAAACCACAGAAAGTGAACTCATGGATGAAGGGCTGCTGTAATAGAATTTTAAACTTGTTCTAACAGTTAGAAATGATCTTATAATCAGAAAGCATAAAATCTCAACTTAGTGTCCAACTCTGTACCTAGGGCCTATAAAGAGATTTGAAGTTTATAGCAAAGCCTCTGCCTTGAAGAATGAGAGCTTATGGCATTTACGTTTCTCAGTCTAGAAGTCCCCAGGTTCACTAACATTACATTTGAGAAATGATTTCCTTTTTTGAGAGAACCCTGAAGTTTAGAAGTTGAGATTGCCTGAGATATTCTTTCCTAACTGCATAATCCCCTCACCTACCATCAAGAGTCACCCAAAAAAGATTGAGATCTGCTTTTAGTTGTTTCTCGGGTCTACTCTTTTCTCTTTACTTCTCCTACCTTGGTTCGGACCCTAACCTCTTCAACTCTAGTCTCTTAGCTGATCTGAGTATATGCCTCTGTCCCAGGCTCTGCTCATAGGATGACACAATAAAAATGCCTCTCCAGTTGTCATGCTTTTTCTCAGCACCCCTATTTCTCAGCCTTCCTATTGTCTCTTTTGTTCAGTCTCCATCTTCTGCTGTGCTTTCAGGGTCTAAATGGCTTTATCTCATTTTCAAATTGTATTTTATTAAAGCTCATCCTAGAAAATACTCTTTCAAATTATTTATAAATCCTCATTGGTTTACTGATTTTAAATATTTCCCATAAAATACAGAGCCTGAACTTGGAGGACCAAATTGAGAGTGATGAGTCAGAACTGAAAAAATTGAAGACTGAAGAAAATTCATTCAAAAGACTGATGATTGTGAAGAAGGAAAAACTTGCCACAGCACAATTCAAAATAAATAAGAAGCATGAGGACGTTAAGCAATACAAACGCACACTAATCGAGTATGAAGTTATTATCAATTTTAGTATATTAGAAAGTAGTTGGGAAAAGTTAATACATTCTCCCCCCTGGATTCCAAAACTACTAAAATTTCAAAAAGGGTTTAATAGTTTTATCTTTATTTAGTCAAATTTAGGTGACTAAAACAGATGGCTTAATTATGAAACTTATACTGCTGGATCTAGGTTTAGAGATGTTTTAGCTACTAGTTTTGTTTTGTTTTGTTTTTCCCTAGATACACAATTCCGGTTCCTTTGTATCATTCTTCAAGAGGGTTCTAGTGCTACTGCTTATTTCAGTGCACTTTAGAGACAGTGGTCTAGAGTTGCATTAGAATGAATCAGCTGATCTGTCTTACAGTCTAGCTGGTCTGTAGAGTTATAGCTTTCATTGAGAAAAAGTCTTTATTTTTTATTCAGCTAAGAATTAATACTTTGCTAAATATGTTTTTTACCAGTATGTTGGAGTATTTCATTGGTAGGGTCTTCTCCCCATCATTTCTAAGAATGTGTTTTTAGAATACCTGCTCCAGATATGTTTATGATGTCATTCTTTCAGTCCCTAAAAAATGCCTTAGAGATCCATCATCAGTATTTCCTTTGCACTTCCTTAAGCATATGAAGAAAAAAGACAGAGCCTGAGGATTTTGTATTTTTTGTCAAATTGCCTTGCAGAAAAGTTGTACTAATTCGTGTGAAAAGGCTACACTGTATGCCATGATGTGATTAGAGCACCATGCCTTGGGGTTTTTGTTTGTTTGCTTTTATATCTTGAGAAGAGTTTTAGATGTGTTAAACAAATACTGACACAGGATCACTTTGGAATCAAAATTAGAATTAAGTGTTTGCCTTTTTGGATGCTTAAGAGGCTTATATATTAGCTGTCTCTATTTTCCTTTAGGGATTGCAATAAAGTTCAAGAAAAAAGAGATGCTGTCTATGAGCGAGTAACCACAATTAATCAAGAAATCCAAAAAATTAAATTTGGAATTCAGCAGCTAAAAGATGCTGCTGAACGGGAGAAGCTGAAGTCCCAGGTGAGTATGTGTTCATAAGAAATTGATTTCAGATAATCTCATGAGTTTAAAATGTAAATTGTCACCCTCATTATGAGGATTTTGTGTGTTCCTGGATTAGAAATTGACCCCTCCAGTCCTTTTATTTTCATTTATAGCACCTTTTCTATTACCCTTGTATAATTGGTATATGTATTTTCTCCATATCTTTTTTCTTTCTTGCCTTTTTTCCTGATAACACATAACAGAATGTGGTTCTTTGCAGTAAGAGCAGTTGTTCCATAAAGATTCTGATTTTTTTAGGTAAATGAACTTGGATAGTGATTTTTAACTAATTGCCTCCAAAAAGTTTCTCCATTTTTTTTTCCTGATAAAAGGATCTCAAAAGTATTTCTTAACATCAGTGTTAAATATATTGGAGGTGTTAACATAAACAAAACAGCTTAGCTTGGTCTTCATGTGTTATAGTACTTTTAAATGATATCTTTATCATAATTACCTAAATTTATTTTCTTTGCTTGTTTTGAGTATATTTATTTTATAACTTCATAAACAGTCTTAAATACAATGAGAACAGACATGTTGTCTTGTACATTTTTACCTTTCAAAATGCCAGCCCTATGTCAAACATAAAATGTTCACCCATTTCTATCCTCCTCTTAACTGCCAATGTCTCTAACAAGTTGTCTATTCCTGATACATTTATTATATCTCCATTCTCTTCTTATCTTTTGAAGTTTGATATATCGTCAAGATTGTTCTACTAGAACAATCATCTAAACTGCTCTACCAAAAATCATTAAAAATAGCTATTTGTGATGCAAAATCTCTGGGCCTTTTGTTCTTTTCTCAGTTTTCTTCATCTTGCCTATGCTTGACACCTCAGATCAAGGTTCCTCAAATCCCTGATAGCTGATAAATATTTAAACACTTGCTGTCACTACTTTCCACCACGCACCCAATTTGCAAAAAGAGCCACAGTAGACAATGCCCTTACCTGTGCTTGGTAACTTTTATTCCTCTGAAAGATTACATTGTGGCACTTGTACATGTGAGCACTATCTCAAGGTTACTTTAAGAGGAAGGAAAGAAGAAAGAACTGGAAGGAAGGAAAAAGAAAGTAAAAAGAAAATAAAATGGTTGTGAGTCCCCTTTCATGGTCTGCCTAGTGCACAGTCTGTCCTATACAACTGCTTTTCTTTTTCCTGCCCCTTAGCTGAATATTCATCACAATTCAGTCGTTGGCCCTTTGCTTATCTCTAGAATGGGGATTACAGAGACCTTAGGAGATATTTAATCCTGCTTCTTAACCAAATCAAATTGATAAATATTTATGTGTTATCACAAGGTCTGGGTAATTAATGAACCAGTTACTAACGAATTAGTAACTAGTTACTAACTCAAATTTCAGATACCTTTGTTTATCAGTCATAAAAGATAACCATGCTTACCTTATATTATTGTTAGTTTTGTGCATGTGTCTCTTGCCAGCAACATTTTATGTTTCTTGACAGTAGCAATCATGTATTGTTAACCTTAGCATATGTCAAACCATACCTAGAATGGTGCCTTATAGGTAGTATGCTTTCCTTAAATATGTGTAAAATTGAAAGGTCATCTAGCATGGTGTTTCTTAAAACTAGCTGTGTATTAGAATTCAATGATTAATTTAAAACTAAACAACCCCCACCCAAATACATTGGTTTAGACTCCACAGCAATGAGGTCCACAAACCTGTATTTTTCAATATGGCTTTTGAGAACTGGTGATAGGTCCTGCTTACTTGTTTTCAATGGTATAGGACTCATAACTTATCAAGCTGTTTTGCTAGGACAGCTTTAGTTGTTAAAATATTATTTCTTATGGAGTTTAGAATATTTATTTCTATATTCTAGTGAACCCAGATCCTTTCTCTGGAAAAAGTCTATACCTTCTTCCACTTAATAACCTTTCAGACATTTGAGGATAGTGATCATGGTTTCTTTCAGCCTTCTCTTATTCAGGTTAATTAGCCCCAGTTTTCCAGCCATTCTTTACATAGCTTAGTTTTCAGATTCATTACTATCCTGTTTACTGTTCTCTCTGTTTCCTACTTATTTTTATTCTGTTTAAATATAAAACCCAGTACTAAACACAATCTCCTAACATAACGATGTGACCAGCCCCAAAGCACAGGGCTTAATGAAGCATAACATTGGGCTGGATTTTTGGCATCAGCATCTTGCCCTTGACTCACTGAAATTGTGATTAAAGGACCTCTATCTTTTTCACATACAGTTCTGCCAAGGCAGGATTTTTTCACTGTATTTTAGTGCAACTATTACTTTTAATTCAAGATTTTTTTTTTTTTTTTTAGATTTCATTTTATTTATTTCAACCTAGATTTCAAAAATATCACAGTCAGTTTAAATCTATCATTCCATGATTCATATTAACTATTTCTCATTGTTTAGTGTCACCTGCACATTTAATCATCATGCCTTTTTCTCCAAGATGAAAATGTTGAGTAGAACAGGGCCCTTTGCTGCATTGTATTTTTATTTTTCAAAGTGGCATAGAACTATTGATCAACACTTTAGGTACAACTGTCCAACTTGATAAGTTATTCTAAACTACCTTTACCTGTTCTGTATTGTGATATCTATTTGTTCCACAGTAGCATGGGAAGGTCTCTAACTACTTTGTTGAAATCAAGGTACTTTTTGTCAGAGAACTCTCCCTAGCTTACTTTATCATCATCCACTATGAAAAGGAAAAAACTGTATGTTAAGATTGCCAAATTGTTCTTTGCACAAATTCTGTTGAATTCTAGTGACCATCATATTCCTTTTTTCATTAAATATTCTTTCCCATACACAATTTATCTCTTCTAGTTTCAATTGTTGCCTTTATTTGGATAGCTGTCAAAAATCTGTTTCCTGTTCTGGTCACTCACAACAAAAATAACATATATAAAATTACATTCAACATCTTTCTGTATCTGCCCTCCCTCACTTTATCTCTTCTTTCCCTTTCTCTCTTTCACTCAATTTCTTCCTATTTCTTTATGGCATCATCATTTTCTATCATAGAGAATTGCCATTTTGGATTTGCCTTAGATAATCCTGATAATCTAGACAATCACCAAGTTAATTTCATGATTTTGTTTTACTCAGTGATACTATTCATAACTACCCTTTTCTATTTATACATCTATCGCATAATGTTGTAATACTCATGGATTGCAGCAACACTTGCTGAATTTCTTCCTGATTTTAGATTCTTCTGTATCAAATCCACATTGAGTACTAAGAGAATTTGGATAATACCAAATTTATCTTGCTAAAATAGTACTCTCAATACAATACTTTCTTGTTTAACACAGGAACTGTTTTTCTCAGTTTATTCATTCAGCCAGTATTTCAACAAATGGCCTATGTATCTATGAGGTATCAGGCATAACACGTGACTGAGAGAGTAAGTTGTAAACAAGGCAGGCATGGCAGGGCGCAGTGGCTCACACCTGTAATCCTAGCAATCTGGGAGGCCGAGGTGGGTGGATCACTCAAGGTCAGGAGTTCAAAACCAGCCTGAGCAAGAGCAAGACCCCGTCTCTGCTATAAATACAAAGAAATTAATTGGCCAACTAATATATATAATAGAAAAAATCAGCCAGGTATGGTGGCACATGCCTGTAGTCCCAGCTACTCGGGAGGCTGAGGCAGTAGGATCGCTTTAGCTCAGGAGTTTGAGGTTGCTGTGAGCTAGGCTGACGCCACGGCACTCACTCTATTCTGGGCAACAAAGCAAGACTCTGTCTCAAAAAAAAAACAAGGCAGGCATGATTCCACCCACCTCTAGGACTTTTAGAATTTTGTATCTGAGATAATCATTTCCCTTATTTAAGGTTCAATAGAGATTATATCCTCCATATAACTTTTTCTGACTCCTTGCACACATCTTTGATTTCTCTCCTCTCTCAGATACTATAGCACTTTTAGTCTATTCTAAATAATCTGAATCTGTGCTATTCAGTGAGGTAGCTATTAGCAATATGTGGCTGTTTACATTTACATTTAAATTAATTACAATGAAATAAAATAAAAAATTTTTCCTCATTTGCACTAGCTATATTTCAAGCACTCAATATCCAATCTGATATGTTTATATGTTCCTTTAGGGTAGAAGGCATTTCATCTTCCATTGTACTATTATTTACAGTGCTACTTGTAGAAAGTATTCAATAATTTATTTGGTTGATTAATACATACTTGTGTGATAAATGGCTACACTGGGTATAAAAATCCATAGATTTTGTATAATCTTAAATCTCTGATTTAAAAAGTGAGATAATTATTAATATCTAGACCAACACTGTCCAATAGAACTTTCTGCAGTACTGTAGCCAGTGGGCACATGTGGCTGTTGAGCTCTTGATGTGTGGCTAGTGCAACTGGGGAAGTGAATTTTGAATTTAATTTGATTAAGTTAAATTTAAATTATAGTAGATTGAAATAGTCACATGTGGCTAGTGGCTATCAGATGGTGCAGAACCAGTTTTTGAGTTTAAAAATACTTAATTTCAATACAGCCATCACAGTAAGACTTACTATATGTGAATTGTTGTGGATTAATATTATATAAAGTTCCACTTGGATGTAGAACTCAATTGGGAACTTTAACATATATAGCATTTATGATGGTTATGAACTGTCACCATTACACATCTTGTGAGGGCTGGCTTATGACTTCAAGTGTATGTTTGCTTCTGTATATATGCCCCTAGAATTGGGCTTTAATGTGGCTCTATGGGCAGAATTTGACTCCTTGAGAATATATTTGTTCTCAGGAGGAGAATGTTCTTTTGGGTATGCTGAAATGGTTGGTTCAGATATTTACAGATTGTATGTCTTTATTTAGCTATGCTTAGTTTTGATAGTTTCTTATAAGTAATATCTTTCTACCAAATTTATTCAGCTTGCTTTTTAGTATGAATAAACATATAGCCCTATAGAACTAGGAAGTTAAATTGATCTATAGCTGCTGAATGTGCTGATTTTTTTTTTAAATGGCATTCACACAAGCTAGCAACTAATTCATGCTTATTTTTCCTATAGGATTTAAGAAATAAAGCTTTCAAAATTTTTTGATTTATTTTCCTAATGGTTTATATTCTATCATAGTTATAGTAATTTGATATCTGCTTAGATCTTGGAAATCTAAACACACTCTTCTATTTTTGTATTAGGATTTAATAACTATGTTTGAATTTTTGGAGAGCATTTAGTCTTAAACATATATTTACATTCGCTTAATCCGGAGTAATAGTTGTTAGACTTGCATAGGTGGCAGAGTCCCTGAAAATAGTGTTCTTTTTTTTGGAACACTCAATTCATACGAGATCAAATTCTAATCTATATAATTTATTCAAAACCAGAATCTATGCTAGAATTTAAACTAAGACAAGTAGTATAAAACCATAGGTTTAAAAAAATTTTAGAGGAGAGATGGTTAAAATTGAGAACATTATACCCATTTACTGTTTGTCTTCCTCCCCTGTTGGAAAAGGGTGGCTGTATTATTTCAGTGGCAAAAAATATCCTGTAGCTTTGTAGAATACCACTGTTTCTTCTCTCATGGCTTGAGAATTGTTTTGTCTAAGAAGAATGAATAATAAAAGGATGATTAATATTGTATTTGGTAAGTATGAAATAGAAAATGTATGCAGGCTAATATGTTTCTTATTTAATCTGTAAAAATCGTTTTGCTTTCCTTTTTTTAATTCTTAGCACATAAATTGTGAACTATCAAACCAATATTTTAAAACAACTCAAAGATACTAATATATTTTTCAGTCCTATAGATTACTTATTAAATCTGTTTACATATCTTTTAAATGATGATTAGGGTCAAATACAGGGGTTATAGTTTATAGTAATCTAGTTATTTTCCAGGTTTAGCATGGAAAGCTCTAAAGTAAAATTTTTCTTTGATAATTATAAATGTTTATTTTTAATGTCTTAGAATCCTAACTATTGTCACATGTCTCTGCTTTGTTTTTTCTAAGTAGCAGACTTTTTTGATGTGTTTGTACAGCTTGCAGAATGAATTTTTAATAAGAGCAAGCATACACATGCATGTGTGTATGTGTGTGCATAAGAGTTTAGGCTTTAAAATATTAATATGAATGAAACTACTGGAATTCTTGTAACTCATTTTTAGTTTAGGTTGTTGCATGGAATAATTCTTATTCTATTTTATTTTCTACACAGGAAATACTTCTAAACTTGAAAACGGCTTTGGAGAAATACCATGAAGGCATTGAAAAAGCAAGAGAGGATGGTTGTGCTAAGATAGATGAGAAGACAGCTGAACTGAAGAAGAAGATGTTCAGAGTGTCAACCTGATTAACATATTAAAATAATATGTATTTTTGTAAATAGCTTGTCATCTTTTAATATTCTATTTAGAAAGACAATAGTTAAGTTGAAGCTAATGGAAGTATCAGAAGTACCAAATAATGTACCCTTGTCAGTTCTTATATACTCTCATAAGTGGCTAGTTTATAAGATAAAAATTCAAGGTAGGCTTTTATTAACTTAAAATTAAAATAACTTGTGCAGCCATTCATGTCTCTACTCTGCCGCTTGCAAATAGTTGTAATAAAATGAAACTAGTTACTTTTGAAATATTTTTTTTCTGTTATTATCATGGCTGTTGTTTTGTTTACATACAGAGTTGTAGCATTATTAAGTCCTGCCTGTGCCCTAAGCATTGTAGTTGGGAATCTCATTTGATCCTCATGTAAGCAACTCTAAGTAGATCTTTTTATTACTACTTTATAGATGAAGTAACTGTGAAGGTCCCAAAAGATTAAATAGCTGAACCAAAATTTGAACTGTGCTTGGGTGATACCAAAGTCTGGAATGTTTCAACGACACTACACTTTCTGATGTAATTATTTCGAAAGAAAAAGTTTGAGTGTGGTAGTCTATTTCTTCCTTGATGTCACTGGCATTTTTATGAGAAAGATAAGTTAAAAATGCATAAATGATTAGAATAGTGCCTGGCACTTAGTAGACAATACCTATGCTAGGTACTTTTCTCTTTGTCAAAGATAATAAAATGCTGTAGGTAGAGACCAGGCCTTCAGTGAGAGGAAAGCCTTGGAATGGGAGGAGCAGAGCAAAAACCAGGTGTCCAGGGAGGAATAGATAGGGGATGCAAAATTGAGCTATTGCCCTCTCCCTTCCTTGCTCCTCTTTAAATAGTCATGGATTTTCATAGAAAGGGCAGCCTGTAAGGCTAGGTAACAAGTGTAAACATGAACCCATTTCTCTCATATTTAAAAATTTTAACTGCCCTGTATCTATCTCTACTATTAGCTGCTGCCCTTTTTTTCCCCAACCAAATTTCTAGAAAACCTATTGTATACTTGCGACTCTATTTTATTTTCTGTCCATCATGGCATTGTTCTGTCTATAGTAATTTCTGAACTTTCTTAAGGTCACTAAAAAATTCCTAGTTACCAAAATTCCATAAATACTTTTTAATCTTTATCTTTTTAAAATTCTACCTGTCCAATACTGTTTTCCCCCTTTGTCTCAGTAACACTATTCAGTTCTCTTAATTCCCTGTTCCTTTTTAATTTCCTTTCCTGTGGGCCTCATCTCTGTTCACCTCTTAAGTGTTTCTGTTCTCTAGGCTTCTGCCCTTGGCCATCTTCACAACCTGTATCCTTCTAGAAAACTTTTGTCTACACCCACAGCTTCAATCTGTACAAATTAAACATTGTACAACTTTTGCTACATTTGTATACATTTTATTAGGTCTGTCATATATCTCCTGAATTTCAGACTTGGTTATCCCATGGTCAGTAGGTGTATTTAACCTTTTGGCATTCTGGTGAAGCCTATTGGACCCTTTCGGAATTAAGTGTTTCATGCATGAAATAAAATACAGGATTATAAGGGAAACCAATTATATTCGAATATGATTATCAAATATTTAAAAACATGCTAAAAGCCATTCTCACTGGAGTTATATCTCATTGTCATTTTGATTTGCATTTCCCTGATGATTAGAGATGTTGAGCATTTTTTCAGATTTTTTTTGGTCATTAGTCTTTTGAAAAGTTTCTGTTCATGTCCTTTGCCCACTTTTTAAATGGGTTGTTTGATTTTTTCTTGCTGATTTTCCTGAGTTCTATATATGTTTTTTTATTCTATTTATCGCCTTTATCGGATGTTAGCATGTGAAATATTTTCCCATTCTGTAGGTCGTCTGTTTGCTCTCATGATAATTTCCTTGGCCGTGCAGAAGCTTTTTAGTTTGATCAGGTCCCATTTATTTATTTTTGTTGTTGCTGTGATTGCTTTTGGGATCTTCTTCATAAATTCTTTCCCTAGGCCAATGTCTATACGAGTTTTTCCCACCTTTTCTTCTAGAATTCTTATAGTTTCATGCCTTAGGTTTAAGTCTGTTATCCACCATGAGTTGATTTTTGTGAGAGGTGAAAGGTGCGGATCCTTTTCAGTCTTCTACATGTGGCTATTCAATTTTCCCAGCACCATTTATTGAATAAGGATTCTTTTCCCCAGTGTATGTTTTTATCTGCTTTGTCAAAGGTTAGATGGTTATATAAGGATGGTTTTATACCTGGTGGATATGGCTTTTATCAAAAAGTCCCAAAACAATAAATATTGGCATGGATGTAGAGAGATAGGAACACTCCTACACTGCTGGTGGGACTGCAAACTAGTACAACCTCTGGGGAAAGTAATATGGAGATACCTCAAAGAGCTACAAGTAGACCTACCATTTGATCCAGCAATCTCTTTACTGGGCATCTACACAAAGGGAAAAAAGACATTCTATAAAAAAGACATCTGCACTCGAATGTTTATGCCAGCACAATTCACAGTTGCAAAATGGAAACAACCCGTGTCCATCAATACATGAATGGATTAATAAAATGTGGTATACATATACCATGAAGTTCTACTCAGCCACAAAAAACAACGGTGATCTAGCACATCTTGTATTTTCCTGAGTAGAGCTGGAGCCCATTCTTGTGATAAATGAAGTATCACAAGAATGGAAAAACAAACATCACATGTACTCACCATCAAATTGGTACTAACTGATCAACACTCAAGTGTACATATAGTAGTAACATTCATCGGTGGGAGGGAGAGGATGGGTATATTCACACCTAAAGGGTGTGGTGTGCACTATCTGGAGGATGGGCACACTTGAAGTTCTGACTTGGGCAGGGCAAAGGTAATATATGTAACCTAAACATTTGTACCCCCGTATATGCTAAAATAATAAAAAAGAAAACATTGTGGTTACTAATATCACCAACTATACTTCTGCCCATGTTGGAAAAGGAACTCACCTACTTTGTCTCTTATGCCAGTATTTCACTTTATTAGATCTATTAAGTTAGCAAGAGCTATGGATTAAGGTACCCAAATCTCCCTCCTGTCTCCTTTGCTCATGTTGCAATTTTGCATCTTTATAATTTCTTACTCATATGCTGCAATAATCTTGTTACCAGCTCCTGGTCTCTAACCCAACTTTACAAAGGAATTAAAGTGTTTTGCCTGGCTAGACTGAGTTTCTTTAGGCCAATGACGAGTCTGTTTTAGTATTTCCAGTCTAGCATAGTACCAAGCACCTGGTAGTCACTAAAATGTTTACTTAAGGAATAGCCATTTCTCCCATGACCAAATTATATAGTCATTGAGGTCAGATTTATCTTAATCCAGCAAGAAACATTGTCTTTTATGCATTTTCTCACACCAAATGTCAACATATGTTTTAGTAGTTTGTTATCTTCACTATTTTTGCCTCCAAAGAAGTAAAAAGCCTTGTTCAAGAGGCCCTGGGTACAATGTACATTAGAGCCTATATTTGGCTGTTTTGATTGAAGAATAAATTATAAAACTTAGATTTTTTTTTCCCAGAGCCTTCTTGAAAATGACTGTTTGGGCCATGCAGTCTTTTAAAATTTATTAATATAGTAAAATTAATACTCCAAAGACGCAAATGGCATCATGAGTACATGGCACGTGGTGAAGCCTGATCTTAAAGGAAATGCTGTGCAGATACAGACTTTGGTTATCATTTATGAGTTCAGGTACTTAGCTATATGTAGAGCAAATATTTAATTTCAAGTTCAACTGACATATTTCAAGGAGCTAATCCATTTTATGACAAAGCAAGGGAAATTGAAATATGCACCTCGCAGGCTGAAGTTAATACATCTGATTTTAGTTTAACGGGATGTTTCCTATTTTTAGTAAGACCAGAAAAATTTTATATGAAATTCCATTTCAAATTCAGGGCCTGCCACCTATTTCAATTAAGTTGGCACTTTTCCCTTTGATTGAAATATGCTTCTCATCTTCCTATCCATATTGCCACCAGGGGGCATAACACAACTTGCATAACCAATGCTAAAATGGATGGATTTTAAGGTTTGAAATGTAAAAGCTGAAAATTTTAAAGTGGTAGTAACAACTCAAAAAAAGAAAAATGTCAGGAAGAATTTAGAGACAATCGTTTGGAGTTGAAATAAGTTCTAAGTAGTATCTTAAGATTATTTTAAAATAATTGCTATAAGGATGATTCTTATTCCAAGGCTCTAATTCTAACCCTATGTGTATTATCTTTTTAAAAATTATTTTATCTAAGTTATCCACTCAGTAGTTTGTTCAGGATTTCTAGCTCAGATTCCATACAACTCTTAAAGTTGAATTTTCCTGAGTGAAGAATTTGAAATTTCATACAGTGAGCAAATCACTTAGGAAATGAACCTAGAACACCAGCTGGCACTGATATGTCACTGTGACATATTTTTCTGACAATCTTGTAAAGTAACTTTCTACCACCAACCACCTCCTCAACTCTATTCTTACTGCCACCACATAGACCTCCCTAAAATACAAACTCCAGTGCTCTACAAATCTTTGACTGTAACCCATAATACTTTGAAAGGCAATATTTTGGTGGATACAATATAGTGTATTAATGGTAGTTGTCAAACTTTAGTGCATATAAAATTTGCCTGGGGTATTTGTTAAATATACCATGCCCCCAGAGGTTTAATATGGTGGGTTTCTGAGTTTCTCCACTTGAACACACTAAGTGATTGTAAAAACAATAATCTTTAGTGCTCACTTTAAGAACTGCTGTGTGATTAAGAGCATAAACTAGAATCAGTCTTCACAGTACTTTCCTTATATAATGAGAATGACAAATACAGTTGACCCTTTAGGAGTTAGGGGTACCCACCCTCTACAAACACAAAAATCCACATATTTGATTTCTCAAAAATTTAACTACTAATAGCCTACTCTTGAACAGAGAAGCCTTACTGGCAACATAAACAGCTGACATATTTTGTATGTTATGTGTATTATATGCTGTATTCTTACAAGAAAATAAGCTAGAAAAAAATGTTATTAAAATCATAAGGAAGAGGAAATATATTTACTATTCATTAACCAGACTTGGATCATCATAAAGGTCTTCATCCTAATCATCTTCACCTTGAGTGGGCTGAGGAAGAAGAGGAAGAGGAGGGATTGGTCTTGCTGTCTCAAAGGTGGCAGAGGCAGAAGAAGTAGAGGAGGGGGAAGGGGAGGCAGGAGAGGCGGGCACACTCAGTGTAAATTTTATTGACAAAAATCCACATA